TAACAAATAACCAATATAATGGCTTAAAAGTCAGAACAGTTAATCAGTTTATTTATATCTACTAATTAAATATCTCTGTGCAATATGACAGGGCGTTTGCTGTGTTTATTATTGAGAAATTGTTTTTTGTGTGTGTTTGTATGTTTAGCCTAGATTGCCATTATTTATCATTGAATAGTTAATTCCTTTTCTAACCAAAATCCCTTGAAATAGGTAAGTATTATTTTGTTTCCTTCCTTCTTTTCTTCCTACTTGTCTGCCTTCTTTCCTTGTTTTCTTCCTTCCTCCCTCCCTTCCTTCTATTTTTTCTCCTTTCTTTCCACCCTCATTTCCTGTTATGACCTTTATATGAGGTGACTTTGAAAGTAAGTGGAAAATTACTTTATCTTTTGCTTCCACTTTTCCATGAACTTTTTGAAAGTCCCTTTGTATGTAGCAGGCATACTTCTTTAGGGAAGATCATCCAGGTGAATGGCAGACAGTCCACTGCTCCCCACTGCTGACAACAGATGATATGTTTGATGTGAAAGCTAAAACAGGTGAACTTCTGATTCTAAGTAGTTTGTCCATATTAACAATATTTAGTCCTTAATGTAGGCTACAGCTGTGAAAGTTTATGATAATTACACTTGCCTTTTAGAAATCTATTTTTCTTATATTTTTTCTGATTATAAATTAAAATATGGCACATACAGAAAATTAGGAAAACTTGGAAACATAAATGATGAAATACAAATTATACATAATTCTATGTTGTTGTTGTTGTTGTTGTTAAGTGCCATCGAGTCAGTTCTGACCTATAGCGACCCTGTATAGGCTTTCCAAGGAGCAACTGGTGAGGTTGAACCACCAACCTTGCAGTTCACACGGCTTTGCAGTCTGGCACATTAACCCCCCACCAGGACTCCCATATAAGTGCTTTGTATTTTCTGTTTTTTACAGAATTGAGATCATACTATAAATATAATTTCAGGTTCATGTTTTCTCCCCCTCAAGGCCATATGATTTCCGTTTATATGGCTATTCCATTGTTTACTTGTTGATCACCCTTTTCAATATTGTAAGAATTATGGTGATGAAAATATTGAACATACATTTTGTTTTCACCACTTATTACTATAAAACAGCATTATACTTGCTAGATTATATATATTCAGTGATGATTTCTAAGCATATCAGATAGGTAGGCACACCTTGTTGTTGTTGTTAGGTGCCAACAAGTTGGTACTGACTCATAGCAACTTTATGCACAGCAGAATGAAACACTGCCCGATCCTGGGCCAACCTCACTATTGTTATCACGCTTCAGCCCATTGCTGCTGCCACTTTATATTCCATCTCGCTGGGGGTCTTCCTCTTTATCTCTGACCCTCCACCTTACCAAACATGATATCCTTCCCCATCAACTGGTCCCTTCTAACAATATGTCCAAAGTATGAGAGATGAAATGTGGCATCCTGGCCTCCAAGGAGCACTCTGGCTGCACTTCATCTAATACAGATCTGTTGGTTCTTTTGGCAGCCCATGGCACTTTCAATATTCTCCTCCAACACCGGAACTCAAAAGCATCTATTCTTCTATGATCTTATTTATTCATTGTCCAGCTTTTGCATGCATATGAGGCTATTGAAAATACCATGTTTTGGGTCAGACACACCTTATTCCTCAAGCTGACATCTTTGCTCTTCAACACTTTAAAAGGTCTTGTGCAGCAGATTTGCCTAATACAATACAGCGTTTGATTTCTTGACTGCTGCTTTCATGA